AGAGAGAGAGAGAGATTAACTTACCCAAATTATAAAAGAGGTAGAGAGAGAGGAGAGAGAGTACAGGAAAAACAGAGAAATAAACGAACAGGGGAGAGAGGAAAACCCAATATAGGGAAACAGAGAGAGATTACCAAGTGGATTGACCTGTCCACCATAGCCATGCGCCCTAATAACCTCCTCAAATGCGAATGCAGCATCTCTTGGGACCCCATACCATGTCTTTGAAGAACCAAGGTGCAGGTAATTCAGGCTATGGAGATCGTGGTCCTCCACATGCCAAGCAAACCATGAGAACAACATAGCAACATACACCATTGGGGAGGTCACACCAGGTATCTCCTCAGGCATAAACCTAAGCACAGAACCCTTTGCCCTCGAAACCACCTTCATATTCCACTCTGATTCACCAATAACTCTCCTCACTCCCTGCTCCACAGGATCACCAAAAGCAGAACCAGGCATGTCATTTGCGTACTCCACAGTGATGGGTTTATCAGCTGTAGCCTTCCAAAACTGGGTCTCGATGGCAAGTGGTCGAGAGTTAGGGTTTTTGAGTCTAGATTTCGCAAAGGCTTTGGCCTTGGCCTCGAATTGTTCTAGGGTATAGGTTTCCCCACTTTGCCAAACTGGCTTTTGGACTACAGTTGCAGAGGGCCTGGGTTTTCTCGGGCAAAATCCGATCTGTTGTTGACGAGTTGAGAAGGTGCATGAGGGGGAGAGAGCAGAGAGGCTATGGTTGAGGTTGGCAATCGCTGTTTTCTTGGGAGAAGGGGGCAGAGGGGGTATGATTTTGCAGATGCCATAGCTGCTTGCTTCTTTCTCTATCTTGTAAATGTAGGCTATTGGGTCTTGGAATTCGGCCATGGTGGGTCGGTATTCGGGGGCAAGGGAGAGGGATTTCAGCCATGGGAGAACCTCTGTATCTGTCATTTCGGAAACGGAGAAATGGGTTCTTTTCTAGAGAGAAAAAGTGGTCCGCTTTTGATGGTGGTTTCGTTGCATTCGGCAGTGACTACATGCTCTCTCTACAAGGGAAGAGATGTTTCAGTCATATGTGATGGGGAGAGATGGGTTTTGCTCTAGAGAGAGAAAGGGCTATTCTAGTGTTGAGTTTGCTGCATTTCTCTCTCTTTCTCTCTGCCTCTCTCTCTCTCTCTCTC